CACATGCCAGCCAGCCCCGCCCCCTGGTGGGCTGAGCTGGCCACACACACACACACACACACACACACACACACACACACAAATAAATAAATAAAAATTAAAAAAAAAAATCAGGAGGCAGAAGCAGGAGTATCACTGAGTTCAAAGCTAGCCTGCATTGTACAGTAAATTCAAGCCATCCTGAACTACACAGCAAGACCGTCTCAAAAAAAAAAAAAATCAGACTGAAAGTAAGCTGCCTTATAGGTGGAATGTTAGTTACTGTGTTTGAGGGGTAGAAAGGAATGAGGGTTCCAAAGCCTAGAGGCCGAGCCCCTCTCCATTCCCACCTCCTACCACCCAGAAGTCCCAGGGCCTGGTTGGCTCCTGTTTGGGAAGGCTGTCCCTTATTTTCTTGCTAATCTCAAATATCCCATGCCTTTCCAGATATCTCATCACCTTTCCCTGGGGGGGTGGGTTATTGCACATCGACTCCACTGCCAGTTGACTGTGAAGCTGGCTCCTTTGCAGTTACTTTGGCTCCCAGCCACTGCCCACAGCTTCTGCATCTGTACACTGCGCCTTTCCCTTTAGGGACAAAGTTTCACTGACCCATGGCTGCTGTACATTCAGACTTTTACCAAAGGTATGGCTTTATGAAGAGAACTTACAACACAAAGCACACAGAGAAAGAGTTTATGATCTATGCAGGCCCTCACTATCCTTTAAACCTCCTCTGATATCCCATTCCCCCTCCCATTGTCTTTCTCCTCAGGGTCCAGCTGCCCAGCAAATAACTGGGCCTCTCTCAGCTCTCAGAACCCCTTCCACTCTTCAAAATCCTTCTCCCTTCACAGCTGCCAGGACTCCTTCCCACAGAGTTCTTGACTTGTTTTATTTTGTTTTTAAATTTTATTTTTTATGTTTTGTGTTGCTGAGGGTCAAACCCAATGCTTTGTGCACACTAGACAAGTGTCCTTCCACAGAGCTACATACCAGCCCGAGTCTTGTTTTTTTTCCATCAACTACCCCTTGACTACCCCCTTGCTTTTCTTCTCTGAGACCATACTCAGGGAACCCTTTCAGCTAATTTTCTAAATAAGAAAGATGTTCTCTGGAACTGTCCGTCTTCCTAGGGTATCAAATTTAAACTGCAGTCAGCTTTGTTAATCATTGTTTAACAGTGTATTTTAATGGCTATGAATTCTCCTCTGCCCTATCACATTCTGTTCTACAGAGGTATCTTTCCAAGATTTTTCAGTTTAGGCAGCTTTATTTTATATTTTAACATAATTAATATTGTACTGTACACACTTTCTGAAACCTGTTTCCTTCCTTTTCACATTTTGCCCTTTCCAATCTCAATATGTAGACTTCATTCCTTTAAATGGTTATATAGTAGTCCATAGTTTGGTTTTTGTCAGTTTATTGCTTGAATTTTTTAATTATTATTTTAAACAATGATAGTATGCTTTTAAAGCAACCACCACCCCTTCCTCCTTATATTACCACCAAAGCTCACCAAAATTCACTACCAATTGGACAAAGAAAAAGCACCATTAGGAACTTTAAGGCAAATTGCACCCCCTAGAGGTTTGTAGTGGTAATGGCAGCTAACACCCGCTGGAAAGAGACTGGCAAAGCTGGAGTGAGATCCATATTGACAAAGAAAGTCAGAGCTTTGCTAGTGGTGGGACGCCTGTAATCCCGGTACTCTTGAGAGGCTGATTGCAACTCTGAGCCTAGCCTGGGAAATTTAGCAACTTAACGGGGCCTTGCATTAAAGTAAAAATAACAGCAATAACAAAAAAAGGGCTGGTCTGTATGTACCTCCGTGCAAAGGCCCTGGGCTTAATCTCCAGTATCAAAAAAGAAAGAAAGAAAAGAAAAAAGAGAGATCCAGAGAAGAGATGAAAGATTCAGAGGCCTCAAAGTTAGGGAACATTTTTAAATGAATCACTGCCCATCCCTACCGTCTGGAGTGCACTGGTTTTTTTTGTTTGTTTGATTGGTTGGTTGGTTTTTCGTTTGTTGGTTTGGTTTGGGGTTTTTTTGAGATAACTTCTTTCACATAGAAGACCCTTTACTTGATATGAGTAGGAAAGAACAGATGGGCATCCTCCAGCAGCTGCGCAGTTACCGGAAGTAATCCTTATCATATACCAAGCATCAAGTGAGCTGAGGATCTGCTGGACCGTCAGAGGCAAGGAGGAACAGAGAGAATCGCTTAGGCAACACTGCCAAATGTGCTGCCCTGGCCTCTTCCAGCCCCTCTCTGCCTCTCCTCCATAGCTTTCAATGCTTCCTTTTTCCTTGTATATTAACCCCTAACTCTTCATTCTGATATTCAAGGCCTTTGTGCTCTGCACTTATAATTAGAGGGAGTCTCTAACCCCTTAGCTCAGGACTTGACACATGATTCGTGACTCCAGTGTTTGCTAAGTGAATAAGGACTGAGTGGCTCCTTTAACAACCTCACTCTTGTCCCTCTTCCCCACTCCATCCCATCTAGATGCACAGTTAGCTCATTTCTAAATACTTTGGTTGTTTTGTTTGGTTTGGTTTGGTTTTCAGTTTGGTTTTTGTTGCAAACCTAGTGTTTTGTGCATGCCAGGCAAGCCATGGCGTCATTCCTCCAGCCCTAATGTGTTCTGGTACACACTGTGTCTCCTTCCTAGAATGCACTCATCTCTCTAGATCACCCACAGGAAGCCTGCCCCATCTTTCTGGGATCAGCTGTTCTGTAACCTTTCCTTGGTGTCAAGCCCCACAGGGGAGCTGTGGCTTCCACAAGGCAGGGGTCACACATCCCCCCACACACACACTGTCCCCCTCAAACTGTGCAGGGCTATGTACCATCACAACCACTGAGCAATCTGTAGGGAGTAAGGAGTTTCACAATGAAGGATGCCCCTAGCAGTAAGGCAGTGTGACCCTGGGGGCAGGACACAGCTTCCCTCCCATGTTACCTGCAGAGAAGCAGCGGGAGCTGGCCCGGAAGGGCTCCCTGAAGAACGGCAGCATGGGCAGCCCTGTCAACCAACAACCCAAGAAGAACAATGTCATGGCCAGGACAAGGTAAAGGCCCTCTCTAGCCCATCTGGACCCTGCCAGCCAGCATTTATCTCAGCTGGCCTTGAGCCTCCCTTCTTCCCTCCCTCCACAGGTGGGATCTAAGATGGGGAGGGAGGAAAATGGAGGCAGTGGGTTGGGATCCAACCCCGTCCCTTCTCAGGTTTGTGTGCTCTACTTCTTGTCTCAACTCCAAAAATTCTTCACCCAGGCTGGTTGTTCCAAATAAAGGCTATTCCTCACTTGACCAGAGCCCAGATGAGAAGCCCCTGGTAGCCCTTGACACGGACAGGTGTGTATGGGTTTGGAGGCATCTGAGCAAGCCATTTGAACCTTTGTGAGCACATAGGGATGTACAGTTCATGCCTGCTATAGTACCAGGAGTAGAGTATTCCTTAGACACAGGCTCTCCAGGGTGAAGTCCTCAGGAAATAGAAATTTTTACAGGGAGGAGGAGAGTGGGCAGAAAAACACAAGGACCAGCCCGGTCTGCTGCCATCCTGGAACAACTGATTCAGTCATTGCCCTGGTGGGCGCTGATTTCTCTGAACAACTGGGCTTGGTGCTTAATGCCTTGTCCTCTGCCCCCTTCCCCAGAGTCCTGAGGAAATGACTTTGGGGAAATCCAACAAATCAGTGTGATTTGAGCCTAGTAAATGAGGAGATGAGTTGAAGGGAGTAACAGCTCTTTTCAGAAAAATATCGAAGGTGGCAATTCATTTGGAAGGGTGGGGCCAGGGAAATCTGTCTTTAACTACCTGCATATGCCCAGCAAGCTTAGATTTTAGGGGGTACTGTTTGTTTAGCTTCATTGGGACAGGGCATGCTATTGACTCATGGGGGAGGCCAGGAGTCTATTTAATTTCCTTGAATTGCTTCCTCTGTCCTCTTTTCTCCACGGCCAGTGATGATGACTTTGACATGTCCAGATACTCTTCTTCCGGCTACTCCTCTGCTGAGGTGAGGCCCCACCCCTGCCCCCAGAGACCTGCCTGAACAAGGACCATCTCTGCCAAGAAGCAGCAGTGGGGCCAATGCCAAGTCACTCCCCCGGAGATACATAAGTGGGCACAGCTGGGTGGAGCTCTGTGTATGACCAGGCCTGGGGTGGCCTAGAAGTAATCACTGAGCTCAATTTTGGGGACCCCAGGTTAGAGCCCAGAGTTATTAGGACAGGGTTTATAAATGGAATGGGTTGTGAAATGCAAGTGGTAATTACAGGAATGGACTCTAATAAAAGCAGGACTAGAGATGGGAAGTTGGCCTTGGAATGGCGAGGGGTCTGTATCTGGACAGACCTTAGGAGGATGGACTGTAAGGGGAGACGCAAGGGTGAGGGCAGGGTGGGAGGAGGAAGGCAGGGCAGGGCCTGGAGTTTGTGAAGAGACCTGGGCTGGCCTGGGGAGGCAGGCAAGGAGTAGCCTGTGGCAGGGTCCATGGCCTTGGGTCCTGGTGGCTCCAGGAAGTGGTGCCTTGGGGAGGAGGACCTAAGCCTGACTGCCCTCCCCTTTGTCAACAGCAGATCAACCAAGATTTGAATATCCAGCTGCTGAAGGACGGCTACCGGTTAGATGAGATTCCCGACGACGAGGACCTAGATCTCATCCCCCCCAAGTCTGTGAACCCCACCTGCATGTGCTGCCAGGCAACATCCTCCACCGCCTGCCACATTCAGTAGCTGGCGGGGCCACTGCGGCTTCATGGGAGAGGCATGACCCCACTGGGCCAGGCTGAACGGGGCAGGGGCCGACCCCTCTCGCTCTCTACCTGCCCTAGGCCGTGCCTCCTACAGCCGCCAACCTCGTAACAGTCATTGCTTCCTCCTATGGTAGGACGTGTACCTCTGTGTGTTCCTGGAGCCGGAGAAACCAAAACCGGGGCTCTCTCCACCCCAGGGGGTGGCTAAGGAAGGGTGGGGTTCTTTGTTTAGTTATTTGGGGGACCTCATTCAGCAAACTCTCCTCTTCCCTAAGACTGCAATCTCGGCACTTCGAAGCTTTGAGACTGGATGGCAGGGAGATCAGTGCTAATATGCAGGGAGAAGGAAATCACATAGTCTGGGGCTTGGCTCCATCCCAGCAAAGCCATGAATCCCCCAGCCCCAACCTGACAAGGAAAGGGATCTGGAGGGAGAAAGGCCCAAGGCAGTGGGAACATAGCCTAGTGCCCCCTGGAAGCCCATGTACCTCTTTGCGTTTTTCCCCTCATCTCCAGATGGCAAGCCTGTCAAGGAGGCCCCAGGAGGTATCCTCCCCCACCCTTTAGATCACTGCCTTCTTCTGCTTTGTCCCATTCAGCCCATTCCTGGCCCTCTGGCCCATCAGGGTGTGGTAAGAGCTGTCCTCACTGGTCCCTAATGCATCTGTCTCTGCCTCCCCTGTCACCCTCACCCCCAACACTTCTGTCCATTGCCCAAGCTGGAAGCAGAGTGTGAGCTCTACTTTAACACCCTACTCCTACCTTACCCAGCCCAAAGGCTGGGAGCCTGCTTTGTATTAAATCCCTTCAAAGAACAGGCTTAGGAAAATACAGTGGGCTGAGCAGTGGCTGTGCATGTATGGCAGTGAGCACTGAGAGAGAGAGAGAGAGAGAGAGAGAGAGAGAGAGAGAGAGAGTCAGTGTCTGTGTCTCTTTGCTGGACCTGTCTCTCCAGATTTCTCTTCCTATCATAGATGTGTCAGTGTGACTATGTGATCTGTTTGCAGTTGGGAGAAGTTGGAAGAGGCTGCTCAGCACTGCAGTGGGCTGAGTCTGGCGAGGAGCCCGAAGCCTGTGTTTTGCTCCTAGCTCTGAGGCTCCAGATGATCTTCAGCAAGCTATGTGCTGTCTCTGGGCTTCAATTTCCCCAACTAAAAAATAAACAGCAGCTGAAATCCTCAAGGTCCTTTCATACCCAAAGGAATTTCTTCACAGGAATTTCTGCAGAGGGGTATGAGACCACTGTGTGTCTTTGAGTGTATCCAGGGGCTCCCTAAGGTGTGTGTTCGTATGGAAAGGGGAAGTACATGCCATCTGTGTAGAAGAGTTCTGTGTGTCTGCAAGTGTGAATGTGTGCAGAGGTGTCTGCTTTATGTATGCGGCTGCATGAAGTATCTGTAGGTCAGGATATTTGTTCCGCTGCTTCTGCCACTATTGCTGGCCTAGGGCCAGACACCAAAACAGCTAAGGATAAAGATCAAGGGAAGAGGTGAGCCTGCCTCAACGTGAAGGAAAGTGGAAGCACATGTAGCCTCAGACTGTGTGTGCCTGTACCCGTGTACCTCCTCCACACAGTGAAGCAGTGTGCTGCCCCCGACCCCTGTGCCAACAGCCAACACACACTAGAGTACCCATTGTTACAGACAGCACCACACACCCCTCTCTAGACTCTAGTCCTCGGAGGTAGAATCTGGAATTGGGGGGAGAAAGGGGCAAGGGGCCACACCATCCCCTGCGCCTCATCCGGAAGCTGCCAACTCCAAAGTATTGGGTGCAACTCTAGTCCCTGTATTTCTAACTCACCTTTAACTCTTCTAATGCAGGGACTCTAGTCAGATGATGAAAAACTACCAAAGGGAAGCAAAGAAAGTAAAGGCATCTTCAGGGCCCACAAGCCACATAGTGGTCTCTACCTGAGCCCCTCTACCACCCTGGTATTCTAGCACTACTGTCACCCGGGCCCCAGAGCCAGGCCTCCACTACCACCATTACCTCCCTGGACTCCTTGGTTCCCTTTCTATAACATGGGTACCTCCTCTTTTTTAGACTTCTGCCTTTACTGTGTGACACTGGCCCACTGGTCAGTCTCTGTGGCCCCGAGGAAGCAGGGAAAAGCTCCTTTCCCACAGGACATACTAGTTCCCTGGCAGGCACGGGCTTCAACTAAGGCAGCATAACTATGGCAGGGAGAGAGGACACTGGCAGCCGTAGCTTCTGTGTCTTGAGTTCATGGTTCCCTCCTTTGCATTCTAGGAGGCTGATGGGGGAAAAGCCAAGGCCTTGGCTTGCCCTTGCCCTTGCCCCTGCCCCTACCTGTGCCCCTGCCCCAGCCCTGTTGTAGATACTGCCTTAACACTCCCTTCACCCCAGCTGTGGCTGCTGCCCAGCCAGGTTTCTCCGTGCTCACTAATTTATTTTCAGGAAGGTGTGTGGAAGACATGAGCCGTGTATAATATTTTTTTTAACATTTCCATCGCAGTATTGACCATCATCCTTGGTTGTGTATCGTGTAACACAAATAATGATATTAAAAGCATCAAACAAGTCAGCCTCAGCTCCCTACTTGGGGTGGGGAGCAAGGGCAAGTGAAGGGGGAAGGGGAGAGAACTGATCTGGATGCACAAGATGCCTTACCTCCACCTGTTGGTTCTTAGAGGTGCCACTGCACTGCTGTGTGACTCTAGGTGAGTCATGGCCCCTCAGAACTTCTGTTCAAAACCAAAACTGTGAGAAGCCCAGCCTGGAAGATCTTCAGGAACCCTCTGAACTCTTTGAAATTGGACTCTTTTGAGAGTTTAAGGCAGGAAGAGGTGGGGAGTAGAGAGGAAATTCGATCTCCTCACCTCCCCCTGGGATAGGGCTGAGCCAGGTGATATCATAATGGGCAGTACCCATCCTGCAAGAGAAAGCAGGGTAGGGTGAGAGCATACAGGCCATAGGGGAGGGAAGCTGAGAGACCCTCCAAGGAGGGGGGTCACAGCAGCTAAAAGCGCCTGCCAGGCTGCAGGTGTGGGCTGTCTAAGGAGGTGGTCACGGATGTCCAGCAGGAGTCATTGATAGGTAGAACCCACCACGGCGTCCCAGAGATCCCACAATGTTCCTCTTCTCTCGAAAGACCAAGACCCCCATCAGCACCTACACTGACTCCTACAGGGCTCCCACCTCCATCAAGGAGGTCTATAAGGACCCACCTCTGTGGGCGTGGGAAGCCAACAAGTTTGTGACCCCGGTAAGAAGAGCCTGGGGGAAGGGCAGGCCAGAACTTATGGCTGTGTGTGTCTAGATGAGAGGCAATATGTAGTCATCACTGTATTTATAATTATTTGTAGCTTTTGTATGTATTTGTCTGGATACAGAATTTACAATGGTATGTAAAATAGCATAAAAGCTTACCCTTGTGAACACAGATAAGAAACAAGAGTTTTACAAATTGTCCAAATGTTGTAAAGGAAATAAACATGGCAGTGCAAATGAAAAGAAAGAGCTTAACTAGGTAGATCATGTATGGAGACCTCTTCTGTTGTGACATTGAAAGAGACTGAGATTGGAAAGATGAAAGAGAACTAGCCATATAAAGAGCTCAAAGAATAGAAGAGCTCTCAGTTTTGAAGAGTCATCAGGAAGTGCAAAGGCCCTGAGGCCGCCTGATGAATAAGCCAGAAAATATCCTACTGTCTTGTCTTATGTTTACGCACACTATGTATCACAATCTTCTTGTGTCTGTATGTGCTCAAGATGAGTAGCCAAGCATGTCAGTGAAGCGTCCACCAAAGGGAGAGGAGCTCTAGAAGTCTAACTGTGACTCTGCCTACAAGAAGTCATTAGTGTGAACCATGCACAAAATGCTGCTGAATACCTTCAGGTGTAGGCACCCAGCATACAAAAAGGAAAGGTCAGCCCTGCCTCGAGGCGCTCAAAGAGTAAAGGTAAACCAAGCCAGCACACCTAATGTGGAGCCTGTGCTGATGGGAAACAGAGTACTCCCAGAACCTAGAGGGCCTGGCTGCAGAGTGATGGAAGCAAGGCGGCGAGGAGGGCTCCTACAGGAGAGGCCTGAGAAGAGCCAGTCCGAGGCTGTACCAGGAACTGAAAACGTGGGGGGGGGGGTGCGCTGCTGAGGACCAAATGTGCTCACGTGCCATTAAGATACACCCCCAGCCCTTAATGTATATTCTTATATGGCCTACTAATAGGAATCCAGGCAGGTCCTTATTCTACTGAGCTATCTCCCCAGCCCGAAGCAAAGGAAAGAGATTTGGGTTAGAGATACAGATCATCACCTAAATGAGCCAAAGTTGTAAGACTAGAGAAGCTTGCCAAACAAGTGAGAGAAAATGGCCAAGGACAGAATTTTTTTTTTATTTATTTTTATTTATTACATTTATTTATTGTGTGTGTGTGTGTGTGTGTGGCCAGCTCAGCCCACCAGGGGGCGGGTCCGGCTGGCATGTGGTGCTGGGGATCGAACCGCGGTCCCTGTGCCTTGCCAAGCCCGCTTCAAGTAGGTGCTTTAGACCACTGAGCCATCTCTCCAGCCCAAGGACAGAATTTTGAAGATATTAACATTCAAGGAGTAGGTAAGGAGATGCAGAATTATGGCCAGAGAGATAGGAGGAAAAATCAGAGAGAACCCAGCAAACACAGCTGGTGACAGTCAGTGCCAAATGCTGCCAAGACACAAAGGGACCTCTTGGATGTCACAACTCTCAGTAGCATGCAGACCATGCACTGAGAGGAATAAAAGTCACACAGCAGTGGGAATAAGAACAAAGGAAAGCTGTCTACTTCTGACTGTGTGGTAAACAGTCTGAAGAACAATGCTACTTCAAAAGCCAAGTTTCACATAAATAGTAATGTCTATTTTGTTTGGAACTCATGGAGGTGAACGGTAAATATACTTAAGACAGGATTGCTGTAAGGACAAATCACACACACACACTCTCTGCCCTCCACCTATATCCTCAATGTAGGTTTCCAAAACATCTTTCAAAGTAAGACTAATAAAACATGAGATCACAATAAAAGAGGTAAGAAAACAATCAGGGCTGATAGTGTAACTTGGTGGTAAGTAGCTTGCTTAACATGCACTAAACCTGGGGTTAGATCCCCAACATGCACATGTGTGCATGCATGCACACACAGAGGTGCAAAAGAAAAAAAAATTCACCATGTTACAGAATAAACAGAAACAACAAACAGCACACTTAAATCAGCAAGGCCTTTAAATACCGGACTTAAAACAAAATAATTATGAATTCTTAAAGTGTAAAATGATCCAAATAAGAATCAAGACAATAGTCTTTAAAATGAGCAGACAAATGTAAAAGAGGAACTGAGTAGAAATGTTGGTACAGGGTCTCACTGCAGCCCAGAGGCGGCACAGCATGCAATGCTGAGGATCGAACCTAGTCCTTGGGCTTGGCAGGCTGGCATTTAGACCACTGAGCTATTTCCCTGGCCCTGAGTAGAAATTTTTAAAATAAAAGTATTTTAAAGACCCAAATCTCACTGGGCAGAGTGGTTCATGCCTATAATCTCAGCGGACATTATCTTTAGAAAATAACTGTGCTGGTTTTTAATTTATAATATTTAAAGAAATAACTAAAATACTAGGAAACAGTACCATGTAAGTTGGAACAGGACAGAGTTAAGGTGTTCCAAAATCCTTACATTGTCATAAAAAGCTATATTAGGTGTGTAGTTAAAACTGCACTTCCCAGATTTCCCTCCATCAGTTGTTCCCAATTGTCCACAAGAGGAATTTGCATGAGATTTGGGAGGCACAAGTGAAGGAGTGGCCACACTTGCCCTCTACAGTTCATACAGAAGACCAGGCATTGTGGAGGATTGGGCACTGTGTTGCAGATTTTGCTCCCTTGATGGCAGAGGGGAACCTTGGCCACCATTCCTTCTGTTTCAGCTGCATCGCCTCCTCTAGCTCCTTTGGGTCCTGGGCCAGGCATGTGTACAGTTCCCCTGCAAAGGACATCTGCATCTCCTGAGGGCTGTCCCCATCATCTGAGTTAGAAGCAATAATTCATGTAGGCTCTATTTGTCCTCTTGGGTTCCAGGTTGTGTTGCTTTTCCCTACTTCAAATCTAACTCTCCCTCCTGCCTACCAGCTAAGGACTTCAAGCTCAATGAGAGATGCAAAGACAGCAACCTTGCAGAGTTTCTTTGCTTCTTTGTCTGTTTTTGGCCTTTGAGGTTTGTTTTGTTTTGGCTTAGTTTGGTTTGGTTTGCAGTAATGAGGATTGAATCAAAGGCCATTCACTGAGCAAGAAGAGTTAGAAAGTTGGGGAGATGGCTCAGCAGTCTAAGCGCCTGCCTGGCAAGCACAAGTACCCAAATTCGGTCCGCAGTACCTCATGCCATGCCAGGTATAGTGGCACATGCCTGTTATCCCAGGTCTGGGGAGGCTGAGACAGGAGGATCATTAAGAGTCTGAACTTCGTAGTGAGACCCTGTATCCACTAAATACGTTTTTAAAAAAAGAGTTAGAAAGGCCAGAATGCTCCTATAAAGATTAAAGAATTAAGCCGATAATTTAAAAACTTCCCACAAAGAAAATAACTAACTTTCCAGTACAGATAGCTAAATCATATTCCTTCAATTGCCCGAGAAACAGTTTATTTCAGTGATGTGCAGACTTTAAAAGAACAGAAGAAAAGAAGATGATTCCCAACTGATTTTATGATCAGTACAACTTCAGTGTAAAACTAATCAAGAAAAGTATGCATAAAGCTATGCACAAATAAAATTCTAAAAAAAATTAGAAAGTGCAGCCAGTAGTGAATAAATAGTTAATGATTATTAGGATGTATTTATTCCATAAGTGTAAAAATGGCTTAACATTAGAAAAATAAACGTCCTTTATCACATTAACAGATCCAAGAAGAAATCCACAAAATCACTTCAAAATAGACAAAAATTAAATGTGCAGGAGAAATCTTTTGAAGGTGAGAAAAATATTCTAAAACTAGGTTGTAGTGATAATTGAGCAACTCTATGCACTGACTAAAAAAGTCCTTAAAACGTATGCTTGCATAGAGGGAATGTTACAGTGTATAAACTATATCTCAGAAAAGCTATTTGAAAAGAGACACAGAAATAGTTGTTAAGGGCCCAGGAGATAGCTCAGTGGCATAAGCACCTGCCTGGCAAGTGAAAGGTCCCGAGTTCTATCCCCAGTACCACAAAACAAAACAAAACAAACAAACAAAAGAGAAATACTTGTTAAAATTCAACAACCATTCAGGATTGAAAAGAAAAACAAAATTCAGAAAACATAAGAAGTAAACTTTCCTAACTTGATAAAGAATGTCTACCCAAAGGGTACCTCAACATTTTCCCGACAACTAGTCAGGCTAGCCTGGACCATATAAGGAGAATATTTTAAAATTGGTATCAAAGCAAAGATTTTTACTATCATTACTTCCATTTAGCATTAGAGTGAAGGGAGACAGAAAGAAAGAGAAAGGAAAGAAAAGAAAGAAAGACTACCATTGTAGATGATACAATTATGTATGCAGAATATATAAATTATTAGAATAACAGAATTTAGAAGTTGGGTGAGTAGAGGATGAAAAGGCAATCACATTTTCTTATGCAGATGACAATATTTAGTGAGTATAATATTTAAAATACTAATAGTAGAAATAAATCAAAGTGTAAAACGAGATATTATAAAACTTTATTAAGTATCTTTTAAATTACTTGAATAAAGGGAGAGGCGTAATATGCTTGTGACTTACTATCATAAAGACTCAATATAGTCAATTACAACTTCTTCAACAGGACTTTTTTAGGAATTTAGCAAGCTGTTTCTAAACTATGTATAGAAGAGCAAAAACTAAGCATCATGCCACACACCTGTAACCCCAGCATTTGGGAGGCTGAGTCAGGAGGATCTCCAAGGTTTGAGGCCAATCTGGGTTACATAGTGAGTTCAAAACCACTCTCAAGGGGCCAGGGAGAGAGCTCAATACAATAAGCACTTGCCTGGCAAGTGTGAAGGCCTGAGTTCAATCACCAGTTCCACAAAAACAACAACAACAAAAAAAAAACACTCTGAACTATACAATGAGACTACCTAAAAGAAACAAAGAAAGAAGACCAAAAGCTGAAGAAATAACTAAAATACACTTAAAAAGGAAGGGATCTTTTTTTTTTTTTTTTTTTTTTTTTTTTTTGAGACACGATCTCACTATGTAATCCAGCCTGCCCTTGAATTTGCGGTGCTCCTCCTCAGGTTCCCCAGTGCTGTGAGCTGCCAGACCCAGCAGAAGGAGGACATTTTTGCCAAATGGAATATCAATATCTATTGCAAAACTACAGAAATTCATAAAGCATTGTATTAATACATAGATAAATAATTAATGAAATTAAAAAATCAGAAATAGACCCACACATATATGAAAACAGTACAACAAAGATTATTGAAATAAAGCTACTGAAAAAAGATACATTGGGTTTGGGATAGCATTACGAATCTGTGACTATTCAATGGAAAACTGGTTATGCATAAATTGATAAAATAAAATGAAACTCACATTAAACCCAAAGAATGAAGTCCTGACAAGTTAAATATTGAAAGTAAAACTGTGCATCGCTTAAAAGAAAATAGAAAACATTGTCTCCATTATCTGACAGAATGGATAAATTTCTTAAGTCACAAACGGCACCAGCCATAAAAGAAGAGATTAATAAATTCAACTATGTTTAAATTAAGAACTTCTGTTCATCAAAGACACCATAAAGAAAATTAAAGATGAAAGCCACAAGCTCAGAGATTTGCAACATGTAACTGATTAGCATATAGAATGCATAAAGAACTATAATTCTCTGGGCTAAAATTGAATACATATGTGTTCTGACCCCCTTCATAAACCTCTTAAACTACAGTAAGTGGATACTTAAGACATAAACTCACAAGGAGGGTGAGACGGGAAGGGCAATGAGAAGAAAATTGTGGAAGCTGGAGAGTATGATAAATAGCAACTGATTTAGTAGATCTGAGAAAACTGAACTCAAAGCCAGGAATAGGAAACCCAAGACATAATTCAATTGAAAAACTGCAGAATTTCCAAATGGCTTAGGAACTGGTAATCCCAGGCTTCTCTGGAATTGAAGATGGGGCAGGACCAAGGCTAAAGTAAGGATTACTTGAAAGCCATTTAAGAAGCAGTTAAGTCCACTAATTCCCTCTTCTATCCCCTGCCAGCGGTGACTGCCTGCCTCTGTCTGAAAAATTCACAAGGCCTATTTTCTGGTGAGGATCCCAAGACCAGGAGACACAAGTGGAGGGTGGGTTACCACACCAAAAACAGGTGAACCTCCACATACTGAGTGCTGGAACTCCCAATATCTCTCTTTACACTGCTCTCTCAAACATGAGTAACTAGGTTGTTACCCTCATGCCAAAACCTGAAGAGAGACTTTTGTGGAGAAACTGAACCTTAAGAGGAAAGATATGTGCACACTGGCCTCAGAGTTTATAAAAAATAGTCTAGCCATATCATCCCACAGTAATGTTCATAGGTGACAAACTCCCCTATAATTTGAAGCCTTCAAGAAGCTCTTTTAGTTAGGTGTGGTGGTGCCCACTTGTAATCCCAGCATCTTGGGAGGATGGGGCAGCAGGATCACAGGCTGGAGCCTAGCCTGGGCAATTTACTGACTCAGTGAGACCCATTCTCAAAAATTTTAAAAACAGCTGGGATGTACCTCAATGTGAAAAGCCCTGGCTTCAATCCCCAGTATGAAAATAGACATCTGAGTGTGGTGGTACACACTTGTAATCCCAACACTCTGGAGACTGAGGCAGAAGAATCATTACCAGTTCAAGGCCAATGGAGGCTACAGAGAAAGTTCAAGGCAGTCTACAGGGCCATACCACCCTGAATGTGCCCAATCTCATCTGATCTCCAAAGCTGAACAGGGTCAGGCCTGGTTAGTACTTGGATGGTAAAAAGTTCAAGGCCAGCCTGGTTTATATAGTGAGATCCATCTAAAAAAAAGGAGAGGAAAAGACTAAAAAAGGAGTATTACTTGTGTTTCATTTAATTTTTCAAAAATTTATTTATTCACTAGATACAGGGTCTCATTACTCAGCTCAGACTCAGTGTCTGGCTGCATGCACGGGAGGTGCTTAGATTGCTGAGCTATCTCCCCAACCCAGGAATCCTATTTTTTTAGTGTCCTACTTGTGAGCATGAGAAACCTCCAAGCATCTGAGGAAAACCTCTAACAAAAAACTGGTGATGTCTGAGTTACTCTAAATGACCATTTCTATAATTATGAGTGCATATGTGTATTTCTGAGTGCTTACTGTATAGGTAGGGATATTTGAATGTGTCTATATGGATATACAACTGCTTAAGTGCATAACTGGGCACATAGGGGTGTGTGTGTGTGTGTGTGTGTGTGTGTGTGTGTGTGTAAAGGGAAGTGCCAAGTTATAGGACTTGCATCCACATATTCTGTATTCTGTTCCCCACCCACATAGGAGTGTAAGTGTACAAGACTTGTCCTAAAAGGAATATTAGCTGGGCACAGAAGTTTCTAGAAGCCCCCAAAATGAAGAATTTTCCAGGTGCCTAGAGTGTTCAGTCTTGTCTCCAAGAAGCCTCTCCCCTTAAGGGCATAAGAGAAGGTGTGAGTGATCCCAGCTGCCTTTTCAGACCTACTACCTGCAGGTACCTGTGGCCTACACCTTACTTGGCATTCCGCCTCCAGCTGAGGATAAGGGGAACCCCAAAGGGAAGCCTCAATCTCAGTGAAAGGCTGACTTGAGGTGAGCCCCAAGAATCAGAGGGGCACAGGGCTTGGACCAAGAGTAGGAAACAAAAGTCAAGGACAAATGACCACAGTAAAGTGGAGGTCAGGGCCAAGGGTAACAGTGGTCAAGGGCAGAGCTACAGCAGAATCAGGGTCAGGTCAGGGACAAAGAATTAAATTTTAAAGTACACATACCAAGCCCACCTTTCATCCTTTTTGAGATCCCATTTTCCCAGAGATCCCTCATTGTCCAGGAAACTGCATAAGGAGCCAGCTTATGGGAAGATGACCTCTATTGAAGCTCCAGACTGTGTGTGCCAGGGGCCTTACTGGAAGTGGCTCCAGGCAGTTTGCCATGCAAAATGACAGTGCTGGGCATGGTGGCACACACCTGTAATCACAGGACTATGCAGGCAGAGGATCATTGCAAGTTTGAGACCAGCCTGGACTACAAAGTGAGTGCAAGGTCAGCCTGAACTGTATAGTGAGAACCTATCTCAAAAAGAAAAAAAGAAGGAGAAGGAGAAGGAAGGAGGAGGAGGAAAAGGAAAAGAAGGAGGAGGAAGAAGAAGAGAAAGAGAAAAAGAAGAAGGAGGAAGAAGAAGATGAAAAAGGAGGAGGAGGAGGAGGAGCAGAGGAGCGGAGGAGGGAGAGGAAGAAGAGGAGGAGCAGGAGGAGGAGGAGGAAGAAAGAAGAAGAAGAAAGAAGAAGAAGAAGAAGGAGGAGGAGGAGGAGGAGGAGGAGGAGGAGGAGGAGAACAAAAACAAGAACAAAAACAAGAAGACAGAAGAAAGAGAAGGAGAAGACAGAAAAAGTGAAAGAAGGACAGGAACATTCAGCTCTGACCTTCAAGAGCTCTGCCCCAGTCAGGAAAGGACAAAATAAGGCTAGAAAACCACTCTGACTGAGGCAAGAGCATGGCTTTAAGTGCCAGACTTTGATGGGAAAAGTGTGTGTGTGCGCGTGTGTGTGTGTGTGTGTGTGTGTGTGTGTGTGTGTGATTCAAAGAAGAAGATCCTGAAGGTTCCAGCCTAAGAGAGATGGAGAGAATATTAACTTCCCCAGGTGGCACCTGCCAGTAATCCTATCATTTGGGAGGTTGAGGCCAGCCTGGACTACATAGTAAGCTCATGGCCATGGCCAGCCTGCAAAATAAGGCCAGCCAGATAGCTCAGCAGACTAAAGCGCCTGCTTAGACAGAGCGCAGCAGCTGGGTTCAATCCTGGGCGGGTTGTGCTGGCCCCGCCCCTGGGGCGTGCTGAGATGGCTATTGAGCCCAGGAGTGGTGGTGCGTGCCTGTAATCCCAGCACTTGGGAGGCTGAAAACAGGAGGATCACTATGAGTCTGAGCTACATAGTGAGATCTTATAGACCCTGTACAAGAAAAAAAAAAAAAAAGACTGAAAAGGAACAAAAGCTGCATGAGAATCTGTTTGGCATACAGAAGGGGTTTGGACCAGGCTGACCTCAAAAAGGAACTAGATCTGGGGCCCTACCTCTGGGGTCCCTATGCATGTAGCCACTTCTCTTCCTTTGCCCAGGGTCTGACACAAACCATGAGGCGCCACACAGATCCGGAAGCCCTACAGAAGATGGCCAAATGTGCTGCACAGGACTACAGATATAAGAGTTCTATATCAGGCCACCCCTACTTGCCTGAGAAGTACTGGCTCTCTCAAGAAGAAGGTAGGGCCTCATCTGCCACCCATCTCTGACCCCAGCAGTGATTCCAACAATGATCCTAATCTGAACCCAAATCATCCTCCTCAGTCCTGCATATTCTTTGTCTCCACTCATGATCTAGCCCTTTTCCCCTTAAGCAACACCCTTCCAATCAGACTTCTAACCACCTGTCCTGCCGACCCTGCTGGGCCAACTCCCTGATGTTTTGAGAGTCCTTCTGAAAAAAGAACCAGAAGAGCTCTGGGTTCCATCCTAAGCGAGATGGAGAAAATATTAACCTCCCCAAATAAGCCCCTCTCAGTGCATTTCAGATGCCATCTCTCCCATCCTGTAAGCAATCCTTTTTATTAGCTATCTCCATCTCTTCTGTATACCTTTGCTCAACTACACATCCTATCTTCAATCTGGAACATTTTCTGATTTCTTCCTTTCAAAATTTCTCTCTTGCTCTTTCTTTTTTCTTTTCTTTTCTTTTTTTTATTTTTTTCAGAACTTGGGATTGAACTCAGGCCCTTGCGCTTGCCAGGCAAGCACTTATTCTACTGAGCTATCTCCCCAGGCCCCTTGCTCTTCTCTTTTAAGCCAAAATTCCTGAAATGTAATGCATACTCACCATCCCTATTTCATTAGTGCTTCATATGCTTTATGAAAATTGTCTTTCTCCTTAGCTCTTTCTTTCTTTTTTTTTTTTTTTTTTTTTTTTTTTT